TTTTCTATCGCCCTACACCTAAACCTACACCTCACAGGAAACTTTCTGCATTTTTAGATTTTTAAACAACTTCATTCTGTGTGATTTATAAGCTTGTTTCCTCATGGGGACCAAAATAATGTCCCTACAAGGTCAAAATTTACTGGTATTACTATCCTTAGCTACCCGGTAAAGTGATGAATACCGGGTACACACACACACACCCCTTTATTACATCAGACACGTCTATGAACATCAAATCTTCATCATGTCATGCCCTGGCATTTTTCTGTCCCCACTGAAAGTAAAATGCTACAGAACAAAATCAGTCAATCTGAACATATTTTATCATGTCAGTATATATCTTCAATTGTTAATTCCCTGTTTAAGATGATTTATTTTAAATATTTTTATATATATATATATAATTTATATATTTTATGTTATTACCTCCTATCTCCTTTAAAAAAAAAATCTAATTTAAATTATTATTTATTTTTTTTCAAAAAAGAAATTATACACACACACACGCGCGTTTCTTTCTGTGAATTGTGGGGACTTTCCATAGACTTCTATTACTTTTATACTGACCAAATGATATTTTCTATCCCCTAACTATAGGCGGAGTTTCACTTTTATGCTGGGGGCGGGGGACACTTTTTTATGTTATACATTTCATATATTTATATAACATATATAACATATATTCAACATTTAAAAATACATAAAAAAAAAAAAAACTGAAAAACATTCCTAATGCATAAAAGCCGCCTCTTTTTCCGAATTGCATAGACGACCACTGTCTTTCTTTCACTATCTCTTCTCTTCTGATAGTTTTTCAGTCAAATCGTTCTCTGTGTGCAGTAAAGAAAGATCTGAGAATCTGTCCTGTGCCACTGAAGATCGGAGCCAGATTCTCCTCATAACTGAGAAACTTATTTCGGATGTAGCTGAACCAATGGGCAGTCTACTTTAGTGTTGTCACGCACACACACACACACACACACACACATTTCTTTCTGTGAATTGTGGGGACTTTCCATAGACTTCTATTACGTTTATACCGACCAAACGATATTTTCTATCCCCTAACCCAACCATAACCCTAAACCTACCCCTTACAGAAAACCTGTTTGCATTGT